TTCCCTTCCAGCCCATCTTAGGCCAGCCCCAGTTCAGGACTTCATTGCTGGGAAGCAACTCTGACATTTAAAACCAAGAGAGAGAGAGGGCCAGCCAGATAGCTCAGTGGATTAAAGCACCTGCTTAGGCACAGGCATAGGCAGGGACTGGGGTTTGATCCAGTGCTAGTACTTGCCAATCTTGTGCTTTTTTTCTAGAAGTGGCTTGAGCCTCCTCAAGCACAAACTCATTAATTTTTGGATGGTGTGTATCCTAGAGTTAGCTTTGACCACAGAAAATGCTACTATACTCCGGGTGTGGTGGCGCATGCCTGTAATCCCAGCACTGGGGAGACAGAAAATAGGATGATCACTATGAGTCTGAGCTGCATAGTGAGACCCTTTACACACAAAAAAAAAAAAAAAGAGAAAGAAACTGCTACTATAAACCAAGCCATGGGCTATATAGGATAGGACAAATGGAACAGCAAGAGGGAGGCTGACTCAGGACGTGTGTGGCCAGAAGCCAGGCCATCATCAAACCATCACCAGGTTCTCAAGAGTGATTTGTGATTCCCAGTTTCCTTTGGTGTAGACTGGAGAAAAATTGTAGTGAGAACATTTCTAGTCTCCCTGAGGGGTGAACTACAAAGAAAAAACAGAACAAGTATGAAGTTCGAATAAGATAGCACAGCCAAGTCTAATATTGTGCTCATTAAAGGGTTCAAACTGCCTGTTTATCAAAACAATACACCTGCACTGAGGGCCCTCGAGGTCCCAGTCATCCAATGTGAGTGGCTTTCATGTATTGACTTTAAGATGGGACATACATTTTTTCTGGGATGGGATGGAATAGTGTGACTTCTACAGCTGTGATTGTGAACTGTCTTCCTAATTCTGAAGCACTGCACTTGGGCACTTTGCCTGAGTCTTTCTGAAAGTAAACCTAAGAAACTATTACACTTGACACTTTGATCATGCATCTCAAGCTCCCTTTTTGCAAAGCCATTTTTAGTGCTACTGTAGCAGCTGTTTGCTTCGAGATGACTGACACCTCAATAGTAGCAAACAAGCATTTGACAACAAAATAAATAGGATCAGAAGCCAGGTGTTTTTCATTAGCAGTTCACCTAATGGAACTGTTAAGTCTAGAATTTTTTTCTTCATAATTTTTGTTGATTTTTCTTTAAAGTTGTTTTTTGATAATATTTGTGATAACTTAATAAAACTGCATTTCTGAAATTATTTTCTAAGTCACAATACAAATGTTTTTTTTTTTTTTTTTTTTTTTTAGGGAAAGGTCTACAGGGTGTTCAGGGTCTCACTACTAGATCAGACCCATAGTGATCCGCCTGTCCACAGCCACCACGCTCAGCCTCAACTGCCATCTCAGGGTGCCCTGAAGTGGAGCCGAATGTAATTCCTATGCATCTAGAAGGGAAGAAATCATGGAAACTCAAGGTATTTTGTTTCACACAAATTTGTGAATGAAGATAACTCTTTGCTTTGTAAAATCCTGAGATAAATTGCAAAGTATTATGGTAAACTTGCTAATTATTAATCTAAGCATTCATGGACTACTCTTTGTGCTATCTTTTTTTCTTTTTTGTATTTCTTAGTAAGAGTCTACACGGTCTACAGCATCTACACAGTCTAGGTAGATTGGAATTATAGTGATCTGCCTGTCTTCAGCCTCTCAAAGAGCTGGGATTACTGGCATGCGCCAGCATTCCCAGTCTCAATCCCCACCTCCGTCCGCTCCAGGGGCAGGGCTAGTACGGCAGACCAGGTAGCAAACCCCAGCCACTGTCTTTGTGTTATCTTAAGAAATCTTTCTATATCTCACAGTCCTAAAACTATTCTCCTACTTATTCTGAAAGTTTTTAATTTTATAATTGACATTTGGAATTATTGTGTGTGACTTGGGGAAGAATTCTTTTTTTTTTTTTTTTTTTTTTTTAGGGAAGGTTATACAGGGTGTTCAGGGTTTCACTACTAGATCAGACTTGTAGTGATCCCTCTGTTTACGGCCTCCCAAGAGCTGGGATTATAGGCGCATGTGCCCCCGGGGCAGGACCAGCACAACAGGCCCAGGGATCAAACCTCCAGCTCCTGTGCTTCCTTGCAAGCGCTTTAATCCACTGAGCTATTTGGTCCACCCTTGAGGAAGAATTCTAATCTCATTTTGTTGTTGTTGTTGATGGAGAATAGTCCAGTTTAACTTTTATAAATAATGCATCTTTTCCTTACTTTATAAAGTTTTTATAATGCTTTATGAAGTTTAGAATGTAAGGGTTTGTTTTGGGACTTGCTATTCTGATTATTAATTCATTCTTCATCCATATGCCAATGTGATTGCACATATTTGAAGCCCTCTACTTTAGCATAAATCCTGCTCTCCCATCTAGCATTTGACCTTGACTACTTAAGGTCACTTACTAATGGTAGCCACCTTACTACCTGGTCATTGCGGGGCAGCTCTCCATGTCTGACCTTAAGGCTTCAGGTCTTTTTACTCCATTTCCTGACTCCCATGCCTCCTCTGAGCTCCTCAGCTTACCTTTCCTGACTCTGTGGCATGGAGGAATTCTGAGTTTGTAGATAGCCACTGCTATTCTGAGAGACCACTTTTTTTTTTTTTCTTTTTGGTGGAACCGGGGATTGAACTCAGGCCCTTACACTTGCCAGGGATGTGCTTATTCCACTGAGCCATCTCCCGGGCCCCTGAGCTTCCACTCTTGATAGCTCTCTGTGGTGGGATAAGAGGACACGTGTGTGAGCCCCAAACTATGTGAGATTTCTGTTGTCCACCATAATTTGATAGGCTCCCTCACGGCCTCTTTTTCTGACAATGAACACTGAACATTTTGGATAATAACTTGGGGGAAACATCAATAGGTAGAAGAAATAGGAATATATCAATTTCATATTATCCTACTATAAAACTGATACATGTTCCAGAATGATGCTGCTAAAATTTAAAACTATTATTCTGCTGTATCAGTCTATATTTTTATACAAATAAGCAAAGTGTTTCATTTCCCAAATACTCTAAAGAATTAAGAGTCTTTATATATTTCTATTTGACTATTTATTAAGAATCAGCTTCCAGAATACCCTGTAAGTCTACTGCCCACATATTATTTACCACAGTGTGAAATGTTTTCATTTAAATGAGAGATGCATTGTTATGACTAGCCAAAAGCTTTTTGTGTCCAAAGAAAGTATTGAGTAATTATTTTCTGGACATAGCTAGTTTGTGAGCCTATATGCACTTAGATGTTCTCTTGGAGATTCTAATTTAATTTGATCTTTACCAGTTTCTGAGTTCTTATCAATTATGTCTCATTAATTGTACATAACAAAAGAACATTCAAAGAGGTATATGCCTCTTTAAAGAAAAGCTATTTTCCATCCTCCCCGTGGCTTTTAGTTGTGAAGTAGTTTGGATTATCATTTGTAACTTGCAAAAGAAAATTTTATAAAATTGTTAATACAATTAGTCTCAAGTTTACTTATTTTCCAACCATGGAGTAGTTATGTAATGATATTTGATATTTAAAATCTGACAAAATGACTTTTTTCTAAGGATTTCAAGTACTTGGGAAGTATCTATTTACTTATCACCCACTATTATTTATGGTTAGAAGTCCCCCATGGCCAGTAGATTTTATTTTATTTCTTTTTACTTATTTATTTTTTGTGGCCAGCTCAACCCACCCTGAGGGCAGGGCTGGTGTGGCATGTGGTGTGAGGGATCGACTTTTACTTATCCCTTTAGTTGGCGTTAAGCAATGCATATTGGCCTAAGGTACTAATGTGTGGTCTTTAGAGATAGCAGGTGTGCTTCCCTGGAACCCCATCCCTTGTTCCCTAGTGTGAGCTGGAAGGAGATGGGATGAAGATCTAATGCTTCAAAATAGAGGCAATGACATCCTGGGGCTTAAAGATTACACATCAGAGCTGAAGCACCAACCCCAAAACGTGACATACTATCTCAATTACATTATGCATATTACTATTTCTGCAGATCCTTATCTCTGTATATGGCAGAGATGATTTCAGGCCTCCTACCTAGCCCAGCTTACATCACCTGTTTGCCACCATTCTCACACTTACTCCCAAGCCACTCTTTTCCACATGAATTAATAAAATACTGATTCTGCCTTGGGTCTAGGCTTTTGTTCTGGATAGCCATCACCATGGCTGGACTTAGGACCCCTTGGATCCCCATAACTACAAATATGTCTTAGTGTCTTTATTCTTGACATGAGTTGCAATGGTAGTGGTAGATTGGAATCAACTCACTAGAATTCCTATAATTTTTCCATGGGATTGCAAATATAAACTACTTGGGCCATGGCAAGGACTGAAGGGCTCTCTATGCATCTTCTGTTTCCCTGTATCTCTGAAGATTGATACAGCCTTTCTAGGCCAACAGCACCCAGGTGTCCATGAAACAGCCTCATGTGAATTCTTCTGAATTCATACCCTTGTTATTTCCTCTTTTTCCTCTCTTTTTATCTAGTCATTTATTCGCAATGTAGAACTGCTACCCTGGGTTAAAGCAACCAGGACACAAATAAATTCTGCTCTCTGTTTTTGATAAAATATCTAAACAGAAAGTTAAGTTCAGAGGGATTAGAGCTGTGATAAAGGTATTATGGGAGGAGGAAAAAAAAAGTTCATTTGTCTTTAAATTATTCTTTTTTTTTACTTTTTTTTCAAAATTTTATTGATACACAGATAGCAATGAGACAGTTTCAAATCAAATCGGAAGTACAGTTTCAACAAATAACACACTGCATATATCCTTCTTACTGGTTAATTGCTGTACAAGATGCGGACTTGAGATCCTATTTACAAACACCATTAGAACAAATCATTCTATTCATTAAGAGAAT